CCATACTTGCTTGCATCATTCATGTATTTATTTTGTAAGTTCCTTCCCTCCAGCTTTTATAATTTCTCCGCTTATACCATCCACCACTGGAATTTAGTTTTTCTTCAGATGTTTTATTACCTTTTCGAATAATTCGTACAATATATTATGATTTTCATCATCCCTTAGTGGTGGGGATATCTTTTCTAGTTCATCCAGTCGACCATATCCCTATACAAATCACTGCTATACTCAGTCCATCTCTTTTTTGTCCCTTCTTTGTCCATCAAGATCTTGCTGTCTTCGCTTTTTAATCACGGGTTGCATTGGTTCCACTTCATATTTGGGGTTTTTGACTAGTTTTTACACCTTGCTAGTCTTGTATTCTCCGGCATAGTATTCAATGTCGCTCCAAAAATTATCCTTTCTTTATGATGTCCTTACCTCATTGCATAACGTTTTGTACTTAGTCGGCATCTCATCCGATTCCTTTATCTTTAGCCTTATTTTTCAAATTTTCTGTGCATATTCCAAGTTTTTCTCAGGTAGCCATTCTTTTGGGGTTTACTTCTCAGTGTATTGTTGATTCTGTTGCTTTTCCATAAAATATTTTAATGCTAATACCTTGATGTCCATGCTAAGGTGTTTCATTTCCCCCCCCCTGATTCTACTCGCTATTTCTTCTTCATATTCCCTCCTCATCTCCTCGTTAGCTAGTGCCTCTATGTTCCTTTTTCCATATTGCGTTCTGAATATACGTTTTAGTTTTAGTCGTCGGTTGCACAGTACCAAGATTCGGTCCGATGATAAATTGGCTCCTTGGAATGTTGTTCAAAGTTGAACTGTTTTCCAGCATCTGCCAATCATTACCAGCTTAATCATATTTGTATGTTTTCTATTTGGTACCCTCCATGTCCATTTTCTGCAGTATTTTTGTTTGAACTTATATTATCATATGTTTTGAAGCAAATTTTAGAGTTTCTCACTTCTTTCATCTCTTTCTCCGTATATATACATTTGCACGAAGTGTTCTCATCTAGTGTTATCCTTCCCAAATTTTGCATTCCAGTCTCCCACAGTTATCTTAATATCTTTCCTAGATAGTTCCTTTAACATGCTTTCCAGCGTTTCGTAAAACTATTCAATATCCTCGTCTGTATTATCTGATGTTGGTGCATATATTTGGATGACACATATTTTGTGGTTTTCCATTAAATCTCGCAACAATTACCCGTAAAATAACCTGTATGTATCAGAGTAATGATGCTTTGGTTTTTGCACTCAACAAGAACCTTACCCCTCCGGTGTGAAATTTTTCATACCTTGACCAGATCACTTAATCCCCAATTATCTCCCCCATCCCTGACCCTCTAATATCTGCCAGTCCTAGAATGTCGTACCTGTATCTTTTTCCATTTCCTTCCTTAGCTCTAACTTGTCTTGTTGTCCATGGTGTTTTCACATTCCATGTCCCTACTGTAATCTCCTCAGTCACCATTCTCAACCTTTTCGTTGTTTTGGAATTTGCTGCTTGGTTTCCTGATTGTGTCCTAGCTGCTGATTTCTGGTTGCTAATTTTTCGACACAATCCCGGTTTCTCGATTGGGGATGTGGATCTTGTTGATTCGGGCTACGTCTGAGCTGGTATCCTTTATTATTTTATTACTTCCCTTCTACGTGACTTTACCGAAAGATTTTGATTTAAAGCTTTCGTGACTGCAGGGATTCATCTTCTTGGTTCTTTCGGTAAAGTCACGTAGAAGGGAAGTAATAAAATAATAAAAATAAAACATAATAAAACAATTCTCACGACGTTTCGGCCACAACGCAAGCAGCCGTCCTCAGGTGAAAAACAGGTCCGTCGAGGCGACAGAGTCTGAATGACTCTGTCTGAATGACTCTGTCGCCTCGACGGACCTGGTTTTCACCTGAGGACGGCTGCTTGCGTTGTGGCCGAAACGTCGTGAGAATTGTTTTATTATGTTTTATTTTTATTATTTTATTACTTCCCTTCTACGTGACTTTACCGAAAGAACCAAGAAGATGAATCCCTGCAGTCACGAAAGCTTTAAATCGAAATTCGCTTGCTTGCTTGCGTGCTTGCTTGCTTACGACCGTGCAAATCTTTCGGTCGTTTTTTAACCCACTTCCCGTGATCCAATGGAGCTGACATTTTGCACACAGACTCGTTGTGCGAGACAATTAATTTTCGTGAAAATTTTTTTTCAAAATTTTACACTTTTTATGAATTTTTTAAATATTTAATTACCAATTGCTTAATGGTGGCAGGCAATCATCTGACCCATAGGTGGCAGCCATCTCAAGCCAGAGGACGAGAGGACTCTAGCCGCCACGCATATAAAGGATTTAGAGTGAAAAACTTTGTTTTTACGGGTTAATTTTTCACTTGCCCAAAGGCAATCATGATCTTTGTAGTAACCTTCAACATCGTCATCAGTCAACGTTAAAAAAATACATATAACTGGTATAGCTCAGAAGTATTCCAATGGGGAAAAATTTACTCTATATCATCAACATGGGACCTCCATATCGCTCAGCTTTAATTTAAGAAAAATCATTACAAGACTACACGTACCAACAACTCCACCTACTGCGAAAACTTGGCATGACCCTTTTGGAAGAGTTATGACTTGAGTCTTTCCTGGTTCAGCAAGCAGAATGCCACGTGCCATGCAAAGCATGCTGGAAGGACCACGTTTTTACTCACAATAGCACATGTTACTGTTTGATGTGTTTTCATCATTTACAGAAAGTCTTAGAATTGGGTCAATTTATTTTATTTGCTCACGATACACAGAAGCTATCATTCAGTCACTATCATCACTCCTCCGGGCATGCTCCAATAATTGCCAGCAGATGGCATCCTCGGCCAGATCATTTTCACGCATTTGTAACCACGAATTCTGCGAGATTTGTCGCGTTAAGAAGCCTGGGACCCAAATCCATAATCCTGTACAAAGTCGTTGAGCCGACTACCAGCCACCAACCCAGTATAAAGAAGAAACACGATGTTTTTTATGTAGTTTATATTTAGTTTTCTACGTGGCTGTTGAGTAACTGCAGCTACATATCATTAACATTCCTTTCCTTTGTTACTGCTACTCCCTGCACCCCCTTGGTGCTGCTGATCCTGCATAATGCATGGGCATAATATGACTTTGAAACCCCCCCCCCCACCTCCTACGCATTTCCCATGAATATGCTAAATTCCTCTTGATGTGCACATTCTTTTTGTTAAGGCGCTCTTCTTCCACCTCCAACGCAGCTTATATATAAGCTCCTAGCTTGGCAGTGTCTCATTCTTCACCTGAAGACGGCTGCTTGCGTTGAGGCACTATTTTACTTTACCGGGTGTTAACATCCCCAGCGTTTAACAGTACTCTCTTTATTGTAAGCCAACGCTGGTATAAACATGGGCATTTTTGTTCTCTTCTATCATGTGCACCAACAGGTGCTTGTGCACAGGCATGTCCACGTACACGTGCACCCCGTGCTCTCTTTTAGCCCCCCTCCCTTCCAATACGTTATCATGTGCACCAACAGGGACTTGCGCACAAACACGTCCACGTCGACGCCTACGAGCACCTCGTGCTCTCTTTTAGCCCCCCTCCCGATACGTTCCATTCATTGGCTACCACACTCTGATAAGCTCACCCCCCCTCTCCTCCCCCTTAACTTGTATTTAAGAGATTGCATCTTGAATCCCTGCCTCACTTGATGCAGCAAATCTGGCTGTGAGAGTCCCACCTGATGACGGAGACTTGTGTTGCCTCCGAAACGTCGTGATTTCATTTTTTTATTTTTTATTAATTTTAATTTCATTTTTTACCTACGTGACTTTGCCGAAAGAACTAAGAGTATGAATCCTTGCAGTCACGAAAGCTTCAAATCTAGAAACAATGGTATAGTCTCCAATAGGGCTAATTTAAGATAGACCCATAGTAGGAAGTAAAAATTGTTAAAATCTGCCATCCAAAAATAGTCAATTAGAAGCAATTTATAAACGGCCAATTAGCGACCATTTTTTAAACAGCAAATGGGTGTCTCTCCCACCCTACACAATAACATAGCTATTTTTATCCATCACGTGCTCAGTGTTGGGCCAATGATAACTTCCACGTATTCACTAACGGCCAGAGCTCCTGTGTTCCAACTTGCGCAATTCTTATCAATAGGAGACTCTGTGTGAAACAGCCAATGGATAAACTGCTGGCTAAGCCTCCCACATGTAAATCACTAAACCAATGGCAAACTCCATTATATTTAGGATTAATATAGCACCCTTTCCAGGGCGATTTACAATATACATTCAAGCCAACGGTAATTTCTGATAATCTATAAATGACCAACCACCATGTCTCGGCTTCTGCGATGACCCCAACGGCATTCCTTAATTTAAAGGTAGTTTTCCAGCATCCTTACAGTTGTACAGTATTAAAGCATTTACTTACTTTAAACATATATTGGGTAACATTTTACTTTAGTTACACGAAGATATGTGTACTGACTTAATTAGATAGTTATAAAATACCTGGTAATACAGTCACCAGTATTATTGTTAACAATGATAAATGTTTTCCGATAAACTTATGTAAACATTGCACTTTTTCCCCAGGAAATACTGAGTCTAAACTCTTTTGTCAGGAGGGTCTGGCCAAGTCTTTGCAGAAGCAGGCGATGTTGCTGTGTGTGTCATTGCAGTTATATTATTTGCCAGAATTTCGATGTCTGATCAATACCGGTTACAGTCGGTGTTTTGTTTTGCTTTGGGAGGAAACTGGTGAACCCGAAGGAAAGTCACGTAGAACATGTAAAAAATAACGCCACACAAAGAGGCGCCTGAGTTTGGAATTGAACCCAGGGATTTTTACTGTGAGGCACGAGTATTACCACTGCACCACTCTTCTGCCCTTGATGAGATGAAATAATGCAAAAGCGAGGTGTCTGGGCTGCACACTTGCTGCTGAACTATAAGTCATCCATCCTTGGAGGCCACTCACCTTGTTTGAGGAACGCTATTGCCTCTTCTCTCCGATGGAGGCCAATTTTCTCCCACTCCTGTACTGAGTCCAAGTAAATTAGTGTCAGTGTAGTTGGAGCCATTTTAATCATGTTCTGCTCACCACATCCTGTTGGAATCTGAATCAGATTTGATATAGACTTTGCATCGAGGCAGTTTACCATAGTCTCTGCCAATTCATCTCCTGAAAAGTAGAAGAAAAATAACCCACAGTTATTCAAGTTACTTCAGCCAGTGTACACCAACATAAATTTTACAATTCAGGCAAAGTTGCTTGGTAGGCCAGTCCAGAACAACCTGGCTACAGTCATTAGGTAAACACCCAGTCAATTGCTGATGGAAATCATCTTAAGATCTCTCTCCTGGCTGCCAGTGCACCAAATATATGTAGCATGTTCATTTGAGACCGGAATTTCTAGGGCTGGAGCTCTAGAATTGGCTCTACTGGAAACATCATTAGCTTCTCCGGAAGGGCCCCGAGTACTAACGAGTGTCACGACCTGAACACTCATGCCTGGCTACCTGCTCTATAAATTTACTGGAAGTCCTGACAGCAAAATAATCCATCGCAAATTGCGCTTTCAACGTTGCAGCGCTAGTCAGCTGGAACTTACTCTGTTGTGGCTTCCACCACTTACCGAGCAATCAACATCTGTTCTGATATATTCTTCCACTCTAAATTGCGTCCAGTGTGTTAACAAAACCACTATGACCGTTCCCTTCGTTTCTCAGGTAAGAAGGTAAGCAGGCTGTGTTTATAGCTCTGAACATGTCTAAACATGTGGCAATCTGGTAATCAGTCTTTTACGGGGTTTTTCCATTTGGTTACCGGTAATGCACAAATATAATTGGAACAGCTCTAATAACAAGACACTTGAAGGGATCTTGGATGAGGTTCTCAATGTTACTTTCCACAGGCCTTCTCTAACACGGGCTGATGCACTGCTCTACAAGAGGAACATTATTTATCTCAATACTGCTGGTAGCACCATTGGAATTAACATTCGGAGAAACAACATTTCAGAAAACATCTTCAGTTTATAGCAACCTAATACTGGTAATAACTTCCTGGTTACACCAGCCCACAGGGGATTCTTCTGTCCGTCCGTCGTGCATTCAAAAATGGGAGGGGTGGGGCTGGGTGGAGAGGGGAGGGTGGGGAGGGGCTGGGTGGGGAGGAAAGGGCTGGGTGGGGAGGGGGTGGGTGGGGAGGGTGAGGAGGGGCTGCGTGGGGAGGGTGGGGCTGGGTGGGCAGGGGAGGGTGGGGAGGGGCTGGGTGGGGAGGGTGAGGAGGGGCTGCGTGGGGAGGGTGGGGCTGGGTGGGGGGTGGGAGGGGTGGGGCTGGGTGGGGAGGGGCTGGTCACCCCGTGGCGCCCTTATAAAACTCAACGTTTAACCAACTCACAGCGGCTTGGGCCCGCCCTGTACAATCGGGCATATTTGCGGAATACACCACGCCGCCGTTGACCCTGGCCATTGACTGAGCAACCCAACGTTACTACCAGCTCCCTCCGCAGGAATGTGTTTTTTGTACTGCCTCCAATGAATGCTCTTGGGGCTGCCCATGAGGGCAGTGACATGGTTCAGTGGCACTGGCGGAACCAGGGGGGGGGGGGGTGGTACGTGCCCTCCCTAATGATCCGATTTAAATCCATAATTTCGATCGGATCATTGGGGTTTATTAGTAATAAATCGGTATTTTGCGACCCCCACAGCCACTGTGTAGCATATTATTACGTGCCAAGGACTCTATGAGATGATAGGACAAGAGTCCATAATTGGCATTAAGTAACGGCAAAGCATTTATAAGTGACTCACATAATTGTGCGCAGTTGCATATGCAGTACACGACTTCGCTGAAGGCATACCTTCAGCGAGCGCGATGCCGATCACACACGGTTCGAAATCGACCCTCAATCGATGGCTGCGCCATTGCGGCACATGCGTCGAATAAAAAGCAAAGGACAAGTCATTACTTACTAACAACTCCTATCATTTTTAATTGCTGGAAGGGTTGACCCCTACCTGAAAACCCTGGCTCAGCCATTGTTCAGTGACAGTGCGTTCGTCGCTTGTTGTAGAAATTTGTGGTTCGAAAATGGCAGTCCGACCTGGTTAAAATTACAGGTGTATTACCTGTATCCTTTGTCCACTTCACAGTAAACGTTAAGATTATCTGACATTCAAAACAAGTAGGCCATTATGTGCCAGTATCATTGTGAAAATTTGCCAAATTATAAAAATGACGTTGAAAATTACTCTTTTTAGATTACACAGCAGCATCGCCACCTACTGTGAAAGTATTGCAAGGTGTGCTTGTGAAAAATTGCACCTTTATAATAGCCATGCGCCATAAAAATGGCACAGATACCAAATGTTGTAAATTATGTTGATTTATTTTAGCAAACCACACCTAGAAACAACATTTCATGAGCTGCAGCAGAGAGAGTTTTGGCGTTATGGAAAGTGTGCATGGGAGAATGTTCTATGTGGGTAGTATCCTTCACTGCAACACTCATGATGTGTGGATTTGTATCGTGTCCCTTTCTACTCACCTTTAACACTAATGAATGTTAAAACATCCGAGTTGGGCACGACGTCCGGACTGATTTCATTTTTTATAAAGAATGTCTCTCGCTCTTCTGCAAATTACAGATCACAGTGTGAAAAGCAATCCTCACAAACACCGGACAGGTTGAGGTTGCAAATATTTTCACTCATGCAATAATCTCTCTCGAAAATGACTGAATCGAAATATGAACCTCTAACCTTTTGATATACCTTATCTGTACCTATGGCGTGGTCTTCCAAAATACCTTCCTTTTTATAGTTGACCAACATGCCCTGGTAGCCATGTTTATTAAGAAGGAATAAAGCCTCTTGGTTCAACCAATTAATTGCCCAGCTCATCCGCTTCAGAAACCGAACTTGTAAACTCTCTAACCAAACAGATTTGGACTTAAACTGGACAAACTACAGAGTCCTGAGGAACCACTGCACCTTGCCAGCCCAAATAGTGTAATTTTTAGCATACCCTCTTAAATTCAAAAGATGATCCCAAACTTTTCTGGAAATTCAAAAAGAACCTAAATGCAAACCAATAACCCATATATTTCACCTTTCCATTCTAGAGGCATCCATCCCTCCTCAATGGAAAACTGCTCTTGTGTGCTGCTCATCATAAAAGTGGCACTACAGACGGCCCTAACAATTTCCACTATCTAAATCCTCTCCCTCTTGCATTAAGTTATTTGAGAAAATCTTAAGTAAATTACATCCCAGAATATGCCCTCTTCCATCCGAAGCAATCTGGCTTTTGAGAAAAATAGTACAACCCGTGCAGTACTCAATACTCTTGACTTTAGCCCCAACAATTTTTCATATTGTCATAATTGCCTCATCCTATTCCTTGACTAGTTATACAGTCTTTGACACTGGATCTCGGTATAATTTTAAAAAGGCTTAAATGCCGACATTTTTCGGGTTGTGCAATCAAATGGATTTACAACTACTTATCTGCCCTCCTGTGGGCTACCCATCCGCATGATGAAGGGTAAGGGGTGGGTGTGATGCCAGTATGGCAGGGAGAGGGATGGTCTCAGACAGACTGGACCTTGGCGATGGACACTAGCTATTGGGGCGTGGAATGTAACATCACTAGGGGGGAAAGAGCCAGAGCTGGTGGAGGAGGTGGAAAGATACCGACTCGATATAGTTAGTCTCATCTCCAGACACAGCATTGGCACTGGAACCAAACTTTTTGATCGGGGGTGGTCTCTCTCCTATTTTGGAGTAACCCCTGGTGAGAGGTCCCGGGCTGGTGTGGGGATACTTACATGCCCCTGGCTGGGTGCTGTTCAGCTAAAGTTTGTCACAGTGGATGAGAAAGTCACCTCAATGAGACTTCGGGTCTCAGAAGTATTTGGCCTTCTTGGAAATGGTGGGTTCAGTGCTCGACAGAGTGCCGCATACCGACTCCATAGACTTACTGGGCGACTTCAATGCTTATGTGGGAAACGATGGGGATACCCGGAGAGGCGTGATTGGGAAGAATGCCCCCCCCCCGTGATCTCAACACAAACGGTCAGATGTTATTGGAATTCTGTGCTAGTTACGGAATGTCAAGAATAAACACCATGATCGAACACAAGGATGCTAATAATAATAGTAATGGCCGCAACTCAGAGGCATGGAGCCAAGCTCAGAGTCGCTCGAAAGCATGGTTATAGAGGTGAGTTTTTATAGGTAGGAACAACAGGTTCCACACTGCCTACCAGGGATTATTTGTCTGGTCTGTCGTGCATATTTGTCTGTCGTGCACGAATGCGCTGTCCAACCAAGTTTCTACTTGCCCACTCCGAAGGAGGTGAGTTTTTAAGTGTCTCTTGAAGGAGGCGATTGAGGTGATGCTGCGAATGTGCAGAGAGATAGCATTCCAGACTGTTAGGGCTGCCACCGAGAAGCGGCGCATAGACATGACCATCCTGGATCTTGGTATCAAGAGGAGGCCGTGAGTCGCACTTCGCAGGCATCTGCCGTGTGCTGAGATGCAAGTCGTCAATAATGAAGAAATGTACGGCGGGCAGGCAGATGTAAAGGCATGGTGGCAGAGGCAGGTGATCTTGTATATGACCCTGCTGGTGATGGGTAGCCAGTTGAGGGCACGGAGACAGGCAAGTGAGTCGAGACGGGGATGAGTGTGGCCAATGACGACGCGTGCTAGGTTGTTTTGTAGTCTTTGAAGTTTTTGTAGGTTGCCAGTGGAGGTCCGGACTAGAACGGAGTTGCAATAGTCAAGGCAAGACCAACTATGCAACATGCCAATGTGTTGCAATTTCAGTGGAGATGAGAAGACGTAGGTGTCTGAGAGCCTTCAGGTGAAAGATACATGAACTGATGATTTGATTGGTTTGACGGTCGAAGGATAAAGTTGAATCTAGGATTACACTGAGGTATCGGTAAACCTGATGCTGTGACCAAAGATGTGTATGTGTGTTGGGAGTGCTGATGAGTTGAGGCGTTGCTTGGCGCCTAACATGATGGCCAATTACTTTTTCGGTTTAAGGTGTTAGGCTGTGTGCAATGAACCACTGTTGCAAGGCGGTGGTAAATTCCGAGAGCCTCTCGAATCCAGATGCATTGCTAGAATCGATGGCGGTGAATAGAATAGTATCTTCCTGCGAATGAGTGGTGCTTAACACCGAAGCTTGTGATGAGGTGTAGGCTGTGAAGAGCAGAGGACCTAGGACAGAGCCCTGGGGAACCCCGCATAATGCTTTTGATTTAGGCGATGTGGACGTGCCCACCCTGACTGAAGATTGCCGGTCAGAAAGGTACGAAACTATCCACTTGAGTGCTGAGCCACATATACCGAAGTCGGATTTCAAGGGGGGAAGTAAGGAGCGAGTGGTTGATGGTGTTGAAGGCTGACGAAATGTCCAGACTTACAAGTGCAACAATGGAGCCGGAATCAATAATCGTTAAAATGTCATCGAGCACTCTAGTGAGTGCTGTTTCTGTGGAGTAGTTTTGATGGTAAGCTGTTTGGAAGCAGCAGTAGTTTGCAGAGGAGATGATGTGTGGTTTTAGCTGGGCGAACGCGAGTCGTTCAAGGAGTTTAGAGAGGTTCGAGAGATTAGTGATGGGACGATAACTAGATGGGTCATCTAGGTCGAGACTTGGTTTCTTTAACAAGGGAGAAACCAAGCTAGATTTGAAGTTAGACGGAAAACACCCCATAGAGAATGAGGCATTTGCGATGTTCCTGATCATGATGGTGAGTTCCGGAGCACATTGCTTGAACAAGGAACCTGGGAGCTCGTCGAGTGGAGATGACTTCAATTGAAATGATTGAATTAAAGATAAAACGTCTTTTGTAGACACCGGCTTGAGCATAGTTAAAAAGATGTCTGGGTGAATGCTTACGATGTGTGGGTAGACGTGCAGGAGTTTGCGATGGTGATCAGCTTCTTGGTGAAGTAAGTATTAAAAGAGGTGGCAAGTTTCAGTGAGGCCAGGGGGTCGCTAAGGTGAGGGACCATGGTGCTACCAGGATGTAGAAGATCTTTGAGGGTTTTCCATAGAAGGCGCAGTTTTCCGGTTGCTGTTTTGATGCGTTCTTCAATGTAGGAGGAATGTGAGGCAAGAATAAGTTTGTTAGTTTTCCTGCAGGCAACTCTGTAGGCAAGTCGATCAGCAGGGAGACCACTGCGGGATGCTATACTTTCAAGGCGCCTCCTGGTTCGCTTAGCAATGATGGCGTCTCATGAAAGCCAGTGAGTGTCATGGGAAGACTGCCTAGCGGTTCGTGATTTTAATGGAGCCAGTATGTCCAGCGCCGCCCTCATGTCAGCTTCTATTTGGAGAGCGCAGACGGTTGAATCCGATGATTGTGATAACATTGAAGGCGAATTTGCGAGGAGGTGGTGTAAAGCAGAAAACTCGATATCCTTGAAATTACGGCAGTTTGCGGGTGAATTTTATGGTGATTGGCTTGGGAATTTGGAGGGAAAAAAGTATGAGGCGGTGGTCGAAGTAACCAGTTTGGAAAACTCCCAGTGCAATGATGCGTCGATGCTGGTCAGGTTCCAGAACCAGGTAGAGCATGCTCTCAACATTGTTTGAGGAAGCTCTGGTGGGGCCTGAGTTTGTGATGACCAGGTTATGGCAGGCCATGGTTAACTCAAGGTGACTATTGATGGAGGTTGGGGTATTGCCGGGGCAATTAAAGTCAACTGTTAGCACGAGCCTGTGAGATGGGTTAGGAATGAGGTAAAGGAATTCCGAAAGCTCGTTTAAGAAGGTATTGATGCTGCCATCAAAAGGGGGATAGATGGAAATGATGGAAAAGCACTCGTTGTTAGTAGTGAGGGATACGGACTGGACCTCGAAGGTGGCGGGAGCCATCGGTAGATAGTGCTCTTTAATTTTCAAGTGTGCATTGTAAACGACCATTAAGCCACCACCCCGCTGGTTAGTTGCACGAGGTTTATGAAGAACCTTGTATCCCAGGGGGACAACTTTCTGAGAGAAGGCTGGCGGGGAGTCTTGCCTGCACCAGGTCTCAGTAATGAGCAAAAGGTCAATGTGGTGGTTCGATATGGTATCGTGAATCAGGGCTGATTTGTTGGTAATGGAGCGTGAGTTGAGTAGGCGGATGTGTGAAGGTGGATGTGAAGATCCGTAGAGGCGAGGCGTGGAGGGATTAGAGGAGATGGCTGGTTGAAGGTTGACCTGTGAACGGTGGCCCCTACCCCCTCTGCAGCCACGGTGCCGATGCAGTCTCTGACGTTGACCTCAAAGAAGCCCGAGGCCAGACAGCGTCCTCAGGAGCGTGGTTTCCAGGTGCAGGTGATGAAGAGATGGTGCATGTCGAAGCCCTATTATATCAGCCCATGCTGTACCGATGGTGGTGATGAGGGGGCCGGAATTTGGGTGGACTCTAATCAGCGGCTCTGCTGCCCAGAGCAGCAACTCGAGGTAGCGTTGTCCAAGCTCCGCGCTATCAACAAGTAATTCCCCGTACGTTACGGATACGTACACGCCCGTGTAAACACTCGTTGAGCACGTACACAGGCATACAGAACCACACAGGTGGGGCATACAATTGAGCAGCCATGGTGTTGAACAATGGATGAAGCACGTCGAGCTCCCACTTGCATAAGTGTACTTGGTACCAGAGCACCTTGGGCCGGAGGTCAATGATTGACTTTATAGTTGTATCATCAGACCTAAGGCCGTATGTTCTGGACACTTGGGTGAAGAGAGGAGCAGAGCTGTCAACTGCTCACAATATGGTTTTAAGTTGTATCCGACAAGTGGTGCACCAACCAGATAGATGTGGAAGGCCGAAACGAATAGTGCTGGTTTTCTCGGAACGTCTGGCTGAACACCCTAAATGCAGAAATATTTCCACTTCCAACACCGGGAAAACTTATCCTGCACTCCAGGGGAGGTCGTGGACGATGTTTGTGAACTTGATGGTAGATGCAGCTGCGAAAAGCTGTGACCTGAAGGCAACCCTAGGAACCGCTAGTGGACACCAGTGGTGAGGGAAGATGTCAGGTTTAAAGAGGCGTTCTGAGCTATGCTCAGAAATAGTTCTCCCGACTCAATTGAGAGGTACAGGCTTTCCAAGAGGGCGGCAGCTGCAGTAGTCGCTGAAGCAAAAGCCCAGGTGTGGAAAGAGTTTGGAGAAGCCATGGACAGGGACTATCAGGCAGCCTCAAAGATGTTCAAAGATGATCAAAAATGTTTAAGGATGTCGACGAGACATGGCCCAGGCTGTTTTCAGTAAGCGTGGCGTAACATTGACTGACCTCAACTATGGAGATAGTTGACATGTGCTAGGGACACTTTGAGGAGCTCATCAACCTGGTGGACATGCCCTCTTTTCAGGAGGCAGCCCTAGTCGGATGCATCATGGTTGCTGAAGTCGCTGCGATGATCGAGGTCCTTTGAAGCAGCAAAGCTGTGGGGTAGACGAGATTCGCCCAGAGTTGTTGAAAGCACTGGACAGTGTAGGCATGTCGTGGTTAACATGCCTCTTCAATGTTGCATGGAAGGTGGGTACAGTACCTCTGGACTGCAAACTGGGGTTGTGGTTCACATTTTTTTTAAAAGTGGACCAGAGGGTGTGCTCCAACTAGAGAGGAATCACACTCCTCAGCATCCCAGGTAAAGCCTATGCCAGAGTGCTGGAAAGGAGGTTTCGCCCGGTGGTCGAGCCTCAGATTCAGGAGGAACAATGTGGATTCCGTCATGGTCGTGGAACAATGGACCAGCTCTTTTCCCTCTCACAGATATTTGAGGGGTCATGGGAATATGCTTATCCAGTCTACCTCTGTTTTGTAGACTTGGAGAAGGCATATGACCATGTTCCGTGCAATGTCGTGGGAGGTGATGCAGGAGTATGATGTACTGAGGCCGCTTTTGAGTGAGAGCTGTGTCCGTATTATTGGTGTTAAATAAAAGTCGTTCACTGTGGGTGTTGGACTCCGCCAAGGGTGGGACTTGTCTTCACTCCTTTTTGTGATTTTCATGGACAGGATATCAAGGCGCAGCAGAGATATGCAGAAAGGTGGCATCACTGCTTTTTGCAGATGACGTCGATTTACAGGGCGATCTACATTCCAACCCTCACCTATGATCATGAGATTTGTGTAATGACCGAGAGAATGAGAGGGTTGCCGGGCTCACTCTCCATGATCAGGTGAGGAGCTCGGTAATCCCGAAGAGCCTCAAAGTTGAGCCCCTGCTCCTACGGATCGAGAGGAGCCAGTTGAGGTGGTTCGGGCTCCTTGTAAGGATGCCTCATCATAGACTCTACTGGGCATGTCCCACTGGATGAAGACCCCGAGGCCTGCCCAAGACACACAGGTGGGACTATGTGGTTCAGCTGGCCTGGGAACGCCTGGGGATTCTCCAGGAAGAGCTAGAGTCTGTTACCAGGGAAAGGAAGATCTGTTTTCTGTCCCCCGCATATCTGGATAGATCATCACTGAGCTGTCTTCAATCTACACTTCCTCTTAAACAAAGCCACCGATTTCCTAAGTACCACTTCGTTCCTCTAACTCTGTCCCATATCCCTGAGAAGTGCCTCCTTATAAAAAAAATGCATCTGCTAAAACTTCGGTAGATTTTCGGAATACCCTTGTCGGTCATCAACAGCTTTGTTCCCTCCCTTCTCTTACCCTCTTCATTTCCCTAATAGACCAAAACAAAGACCATACTTTGAAACTGTGCCTAACTTTTTTTCAGGCACCTCTGGTTCCCACATGTTTTCACTGTTTTTTATTGCATGTTTCGTCTAAGGCTATTAAATACCTCGCTTGTTACTTGTGTAATATTCTTTAAAGACCCTGTTTTCGTTCTCTGCAATATTTATGTTTTTTGTCTTTGTTTTGTCACTGCCGTGCTCATGCACCACGGATCTCCTTTGTAAAAACCCCAACTGTGAAACGACTGCAGACTGTGCCTGTAAAACACAGCACTTCATAATGGCCCTGCGCTATAAGAATGAGGCGTATATCAAATGTACGAAATTACTGTTATGAATCATTCCTGCAGAGAACATGAATAAATGTGACTCATGTTCTAGCAGTGTTAGGAGGACTGCACTTGTCTTTAAAATGTTTAAGCATTAATAGAAAAACAAATCCTGTAACACATTTTGGGATACTCTTCATGTATTTTAATTTACAATAATTTTAAACATCTACTTTGACAAACGTATATGGCATACAGTGTTATCTCATATTAAGTGTAAATGTCGTGATCTATACTTACCAACGTGAACACTCCTTGATTCAGACCGGATATCTCTTACACCTTCCGGCTAAAAAGAATACAAATTAGAAAAAAATAACATTCATTTCTGGTGAAATGTAAGTGTAATTAATCTTATTATTTTTTTGTTTTGCTTGTTTACCCAGGAAACCCTGAGGAGTCTCAATACTCTTTTTTCAGAAAGGTCCTGCCAAATGTTCCTAAGCAAGGGTCGTTTTTCTGCTGTGTGCACTCCTATTTGAGTAACCTGCAGATATTTTTTCAGTTACAGTGTATGTTTTTTTGCAGCTAAGGGAAGACACAGGAGAAGCCCAGGAAATCCATGCAAAACAGGGGAAGGACATGCAAACTTTGCACAGAGAGGTGCCATTCAGAAACTTAAGCGTAAACCCTTTCTGCTGAACCACAAGTGTTACCAATGCGCCACCCCTGCCCATCGAAATGCTCAGTCAATAGGCGGAAGAGGGCATGCATAACGCAGGTCGTGCCTGTGTAATTGGCTCAGCTGCTGCTGTGTAAAGGGACTGCTGAAGCCAAATTTTCAACAGGAAGGCAGGAAGCTGTGGCTGCATGTTGCCTGTCCAACTAATTCCCACAAACTACAGTACTGTAAATTTACTGCAAGCTACCACAAACTATTGCAAATTTACCGCAAACTACCACAAATGTGTTGAGGTGTAGAACCACGTGGACTCAGAGTTCCTTGTAAGGGCTTACGCCGGTTTATTAACACTGTTAATAATCACTCTAACTCACACCTTCCCTTGGACCTCGGCTCTACTCTTGCCCCTAGCCTTGGCTATTCCCTTGGGCTCTCTCTCACTCGAGTCGGGACGGGGGTTCAGCCATCACCGCCCGACCGAGTGAGAGCAGCACCCCTCTTCTCCCTAGCCGGCTCTCACGAACTTTCTCGAGCCTTACCCTCGGTTACCTCGACAGCTCTCCCACTCGTCGAGCCCGGAAGGGGGTTCAGCCAACTCCATCCGGTCACGAGCGGGAGAGACTTGGCCTCAGCCGCTACACAGCCCGGGCTCCCACAATCACGTCACGGGGTCCCCCTTAAGTACCCCTCTACAATCCCGTCACATGACGTCATCCCACTACCCCATGATTTCACCAGGCTACTCCTCAACAAATATGTCACAAACTACTGCAAAGTTGGCTACAAAGAACGACAAAGGGCCCTCATGATCCACAGCCCACCCCCAAAGCCATCCTCCCTCGTTCAACCTTTCTTATCCCTCCCCACCTTTGCACTCCCCACGGTCCCCCATGCTATACCTTTCCACCCGCGATCTGCTAATAAACTTGCTGTGGTGCACCCACGGAGGTTGGAAGGAAGGAGATTAGAGGCAGTGGTTCATAAAGTTGCACCATTGTTTCATCTGCCACGCCGGGAGATTGAACCAAACCGGCAACCTCGGAATTGCAAGTCTGGTGTTGTCACCATTACAGAGCTGTGGCAGCTCTCTTCCTGTTTCACTTAAACTAGCAGTGCCCACATCCATTGGTAATGACCTGTATTCCTTCTGTAATATGTCTTCTGTCAGTATGTCACCGTCTAATAACTCTGTAACGAGTGTTATGCTGTTCAGCGGATTGCAAGAGTGTGATCCACACAGAGTTAGAGAAATGTTCACTGATATATTTGAGGAAGTAATTTGTGTTGTGTGAATTACCGCCACACGCAGAATTTTTTGGACACCGTCACCAAAAGTGCGGCCATACACACGGGATCGAATAGATATATGATGCTCTCCGATCTTCAATGGCACAATGGGAAATGACACCACCATAGCACCCTTTCCCTTCACTGTGATACAACAAAAACACAGCAAACACAACGTGGGTGCCAATACGCACAGATACATAACACTGGGCAGAGGCCTGGCCCAGTGGTAGCATGTTCACTGCTTTCGGAAATCAGATTATGAATCAATAGATTTCTCGGTTACTCCATGTAACGAATTGACCAAATTTGTGTCCATAATACAGGTTATACGTAATCTAACCCAAAAACCCTCTATTATGGATGATATTGGTCGCGAAAGCCTACGTGTTGAATCAATTTGTGTCGTAAAGACCCTCCACCAGCAAACACAGCCAAACAAATTAAATTGCCAAGTGAACAACTGTTTAGTAATGTGCCAATTGTTATTGTTTAAGCTCAAACTGGTAAGTTGAAGAACAATTATCAGAACCACCTTTAGGAATTAAAACATCAATGTATTTATTTTAAAACTTGACCATGTGTAACGCTAACGAACATGTGTAGAAGCCAATGTCACAAATAAATACATGTCCACACACCTGTGGATTTCTGACTGGGCTTTGCTCCAGATTTTGATGTGCTGCAAATTGACTCAACAATATCCATTTCTGTCAAAATCTATTGGCACAAGAAATAGAGAAATTATTTAACAGATCATACCATGAAGAAACACAAATACGTTGATTAAAACATGGTACACACTTTGCGCAAATAAGCACATCAGTTTGAAAGCAAAGCACATGCATCCACATTGAACTGGGTAAGTCTATCTTATATTAATAACAAATAAGACATTACAGCACAAAAACAAACACGACACAGCACGAGCCTCTCGGCAGGAACCTGACAGTACAGGAAAATATAATTAATCCACTTGTTTACTCAGTAAAGCCTGTCTGAGTCTCAATACTCATTCCGTAAGGTCCTACAAAGTTTTGGCAATATGGATGGTTTCTATGTGACATCCTGATTGAGTATTTTATGATTTTAACAAGTAAAACCGTAAAAACAAAGTTTTTCACTCTAAATCCTTTATATGCGTGGCGGCTAGAGTCCTCTCGTCCTCTGGCTTGAGATGGCTGCAATCTATGGGTCAGATGATTGTCTGCCAGTATTAAGCAATTGGTAATGAAATATTTAATTTGTTTTCCCTAAACAGTGTAAAATTTTGTAAAAAATTTTTCACGAAAATTAATTGTCACACACAACGAGTCTGTGTGGAAAATGTCAGCTCGATCGGATCACGGGAAGTGGGTTAAAAAACGAGCGATAGATTTGCACGGTCCTAAGCAAGCAAGCGAACTTAATATAAAGGATTTAAAATATATTCGCCTGTGGAGGACGCGGGGATCGATCCCGCGACCTTTGGCATGGGAAGCGAGGGCGCTACCAACTGCGCTACTCCGCCACAGCCTGTGGAGGAGTTACGCTCTGGGCTCCTATACTGTGACGTTCAGCCAAAGCCATGAATGAGTTCTATTTGAATAAATGTTAAATACATTTTTTTGCCTAAAAAGTGTAAAATTTTTGAATTTTTTTCACGAACATTAATTGTCTGTCACAACGAGTCTGTGTGGAAAATGTCAGCTCGATTGGATCACGGGAAGTAGGTTAAAAAACGACCGAAAGATTTGCACGGTCGTAAACAAGCAAGCAAGCACGCAAGCAAGCACGCAAGCAAGGACGCAAGCAAGCAAGCGAACTTAATATAAAGGATTTTAAAAAGTCGAAAATGTAGGATATTGTGTGTGACTTCCGGTGATGTCATGGCCAAGCGAGGAGTACTTGAACGAACCTCTTGACCTCTACTATAGTAAACAACCCTACAAGTCCAGCATACCACCTCATTTACTCATCAACCGTGATTTTTATCCTTTTTCGTTGTCTTAGAAGCCTCGCAGGGGTTTGTTTTTACAAAAATAATTCTGCCTTTTGGGGCATTATGTTAACACAGCTGCTTGAATTGTGGCCGAAACGTCGTGAGAATTTTATCTTATTATGTTAATTTTTATTATTTTATTATTTCCCTTCTACGTGACTTTACCGAAAGAACCAATAATATAAAGCCTATTACCTTTAATTTGGCTGCAAAATTAGAGATCAGAACAAGATGTGGGCCCCGCACATATGTTGCAACACTTGTGCAACAAATCTTCGCCAGTGGTTGAACAGCAAAAGGAAATATATGCCTTTTGCAGTGTCAATGATTTGGAGAGAGCCAACAGATCATATCAGCAATTGTTACTTCTGCATGGCGCCTCCAGTTGGGAAAGGTGTGTCAAAGAAGAAAAAGTGGACTGCATTATCCAAACATTCCATGAGCTATACACCCAGTACCCCACAGAGAAGGATTGCCGGTTCCTGATGCAAACGAATCAGTCTCACTTGAGTCAGACAATGGAAGAGAAAGAGGATTAAACTTCTGGTCCTGAACCATCAAGGTTACATGACCCAGAGTTTCTCCCATCCTCCTCATCTGAACCACACCTCATAACACAAGGGGAACTGAAATACCTTGTCAGGGATTTGTAACTACCCAGACTGCAGGAGTGGAATCTCCTGGCAGGTGATTTTAGGCTTTCCATGTTCAGTGACCGTCAAAATAATCTTGTCCCATTCTTCTTCATAGAAGGTGATCTTGTAGCCCGCGACAACATCGATAGTGTGATGGCAGCCCTAAACATCGTTCATGATCTAGATGAGTGGAGACTGTTCATTGCTTCATCGAAGATGAGTCTTAAAGCTGTTTTGTTGCATAATGGCAATGTTTTGCCATCAATTCCAGTTGGTCATGCAGTCCATATCAATCAAACCTATGACAACATGAAACAATTTGCAGGTGCATAAACTATGACCAACATCAGTGGCAGCTTTGTGTCGATTTGAAGATTGTTGCTCTCTTGCTTGATCGGCAGACTGGATACACAAAGTACTGCTGTTTTCTCTGCGAATGGGATAGTCGCGCGAGAGATTCCCACTACATCAAGATAGATTGACCACTCTGGCAGTCATTGGAGCCTAGGAGGAAAAGTGTTCAGCATCCAGCACTTGTTTAATGAAGGAAGATTTTGTTACCACCCTTACACAACAAGCTGGGTCTGATGAAGAACTTTGTCAAAGCTATAAACAAAACACAAGCAGCTTTCAAGTATCTCCGTGGAAAATTTTCAATGTTAAGTGAAGCTAAGATAAAGGAAAATGTATTTGTTAGTCGTCAGATTCGTGAACTTCTTAGAGATGATGGATTTGACAGTGAACTGCGTGGCAAGGAAAAGACGGCATGGAAAGCCTTCCAGTTAGTGGCAACAAATTTTCACGGAAAAAACAAGGTAGACAACTACAGGGAGTTGGTAGAAAACCTCAAGTTATACAAAAGCCTTGGTTGCAACATGTAACTAAATATACAATTTTTGCACTCTCATCGAGATTTTTTTCCCACCGAACTGCAGAGCAGTGAGCGACGAGTATGGCAAGCGATTTCACCAGGACATTGCAACAATTGAAAAATGCTATCAGCGCAAATGGAGCCCATCAATGCTTGTAGACTATTGCTGGACAATGACAAGAGATGCTCCATTTAATGATACAAGAGACATGCCAAGAAGCACCGAGTAGACACTGAATAAGGACTAAACTATGTACATCATAGTTTTGCCTTTTGTTTCATAATACATTTTATTTATATAACCCTTTTGCTCATTTTTTAAGTATTACATGAACAGGACAGGTGACATGTTATTATGTAAAGCAACCATAAACACATGCAAAGACCTAGGTTTACAATTATGAGTAAAACTCTACTGTCTACACAATATACGTAGACGTAAAATATAAAAACATAATATCTTTGGAACAGTAGACAATCGGTTGTATTAATTGTCATATTATAATTCAGCACAATAATAAACAACACATTTAATCTCTGAAGCAGATGACATCTAAAAATTGTAGACCAGTGTAATTGGACGCCAAGGGACGGGAGTGTCAACTCAATACCTTCCGGAGAGAATTGAGGACAACTCTTACCAGGGAGCCCTTATCTATGTTCTGAAACATCTACCGAAATCACTACGAATCCCGGAATCTTTGGACACACAGCCTGTTACGCTGCAGTGGATTGTTAAAGGCTACCGGGTTGGAAAGAGAGCCAGAAGAAATTTGGAGACCAACAACTCGAGACCTCGCTCCCTGCTGATCCTGTTCACGACCCACCACGGCGCCACTGAGGCATTGAAGGGAGCGAGGATAGCAAGAGGGAACGGCACGTCACTTGAGAGTAATCGTGTCTTTATCATGCCCTAATTAACCTTATTCTGCCTCTGCACAGGGACTTGGTGGGGAGAGCTGGGATATGCTCTCAGCTGCTCTACCCAGCGAAGCTGTGACTCCACGTCAGAGGGAGAAGGCTTGACTTCCTGACACGGGGCGAGGTGATGGGAAACAAGGAGGTGCAGGAGATTCTGCAGGGCCCGAAAGGGAATGGAGGGAAACCTGAGCTGGTGATCAGGCGGCAGAAGCCCATTAGCATGAGGCACAGAATAGGCTTGGTCTGCGTCTGCATTGACGGCACCCAGACGGCGTGTCTCCTTTAAACGTTTTTTCTTTTATATTTGCCTTTTCTCCTCTCTTGGATAAAGTTCCCGATTTTCGGCAAAGCCCAGATGGGATTTATTAGGAACAGATATTCGGCTGACAATATTAGGACTCTGATCAATCTGGTGGAGATCACCTCGATGGACAACATGATCACCTATGCCCTTACTCTGGATGGGAAAAATACATTCCATAGGGTTGAATGAGCCTTTCTGTTCTGGGCAATGGACAAGTTCAGCGACTCGCCCCCATTTATTGACATGTGTAGACTCTATGATTCTGTATTTGTAAACGGTTTAGCATCTCCCAACTTTGGCCTGAGTAGGGGTACAAGGCAAGGCTGCCCTCTTTATCCACTAACTTTAACTTTGACCATGGAGCCATTTGCAGACAGCATCAGGATGAGTTAGCAGATCTCGGGAGTATGGTACAGCACAGTAGAAAAGAAACTTAACCTGGCATTCTGGCCTTAGCCTTAGTGAAGGAATACAGAGGTGTTTCAGGATACAAATTAATTGTTACTAAATTGGAGTTGATGCGCATATCAATGTGTCCCCCAAGCCCCCAGAGGTATTGGTGCCCTTCAAGTGGTCGCTAGCTCACATAAAGTACCTCGGCGTTGATTACTTCCTCCTGGGTGCTGCTTTTCCCCCCTTGCTCCAGGAGATTGGATCTTCCCTGTCCACGTGGGCAGATTTCCACATCTCGCTTTACAATAGGATGCATCTAATTAAGATTCTGATTCTACTTAAACTCCTTTTTTACCTGCGGATGGTTCCTCCCAGCATTCCAATACCTTTGTCAAAGCACTACATTCCCAAATCTCATCTTTTATCTGGAATCGCAAACTTGTGCTGCAAAGGAAGGCAGCTTGGATCTCCTTGATTTTCTGAAATATCATAGGGCAATAGCTCTGCAAAGCATAACACGCTGGCTCGACCCTACAAAAGCCAAGACTGGTAAATGGTCGGAAGAGGAATCTGTAAGCCCATGCTCCTTTCTGGCTTTTCCCTAGCTTTGGCAAGAGACAGGCCTAAGGGGATTAAGCCGGTGTGGGCAGTCATCGTGATGCTGGGGATATGTCGAGATAGGTGCATCTCTTTTCAGGTTCCTCTCCATAGAAGATCCCCACTGTGGGAAAACCAAACCCTGAAAGTGGGGGGTAAAGAGATTACGTGGGCTATTTTGGAAGAATTCAGAAGAGTTGGAGATCTCCTGTCCAGGGAGGGTAGTGTGTTAACTTTTAATCAGTTGCAGGGCAAGTACAATATTATACATTTCCAGATTAGAGACGCCATCACAAAAGCCCCAGGCAAGAACCTAAATGATTCGTTGCACCCAATCAAATATTGGTTGGATATACCAAAAACTAAATATAGGCTAGCAGAGCCTTATTGTCTAAAGGATGGTTAGAGTGCACTTACCAGACCAATTACTAGGAAACTTTGTAGCATGCTAATGCCTTACGTTATTCCCCAACAACACAAGTGGACCCAAATCTGGCAACCTAAAATTGACCCAAGAGCATTACCGATGAGGCGTATCCAGTTTAAATGTATGCATGATGCTTACATGACCAACGAGAAAAGAGCAAAATTCGTGGTCCAATCGTATTTCCACACCTTGTGGCTATGCTCAGACACAATTAAACTTTACTGGGACATTATGAACGTGTTCAATAAGATCTGTGGCACCAATATCTCCTCTTCAGTCAAAACCACTCTGTGGGGCCTGAAACCTGGCGCTCTGTCGAAACATCAGCATGCCTTATTACAAATCATCAACGTTACGGCTAGGAAGGCAATTTTTTCCAATTTGAAAGAATATTAACTCCGCTCATGGATACAATTGCATACCACTTAAGTGACACGCTTAAAACCAGAGAGTGGGAGTTTAAAGCAGATGGTTGCCATTTTTACGGAGCCTAAATGAGGCACATGCAGGGGCAAGGTTTGGTGGAGGGGATGGGTGTTCTCGTGGGACTGACCCCCCCCCCCTTTCTGGAAACTGGCAGGAGCATATTATAGCTCAGAGGAACGTAAGTTTACAAGCTCACAGGTCACGTGTAAATTATTTAACTTGTGGTGTTTTGCAGCACGCCTTTCCCTTTTCCCACCCAGCGTCTCCACACCCACTCTCTTTCACCCCCTTCTTCCCTTTTATGTCTGTTATCTTCTCACCCCCAGAAAACTTTAACTTCTCTGGTAAAGGCTCCCCACTTAGGTGGGACAGTGAGCCTGATCTCCCCCTTTTCACCAAACCCTGCTGCATCGATCTTGGGCTTTTGCTGGCGGGATTTATGTTTCCCCGTTCTTGTACTGTGATTTGTGCTTCGTACCGGGCTCGCATTAAGTGGAAATACATTAAAATATATATATATATTGTGTATGTGTGGGTAGTGCTGACCGTTAAGGATTCTTCCATGTAGTTATACAGAATGACCCGTATTTCCGTTTGCTCGCCTCGTTTCACCGAGTAGGGCAAGTGAAGTTTGATGAAGAAATCTTTGGTAGAAACCAGTAATAATGGGTCCGCCAGACACACTCCTACAAAACACAGAAGCACCCACAGTACAGATAACCCCGAAACAAGCTGTCAGAAATATGTTTGAGTGTTATACCATGCCCATTAAAATAAGTATTTGTGGTTGATTGAGCGCCCTTTATGTGGAGTGTTTTTAAGTGCTTTACATTCACCTCTGAGCCTTAAACCTCAAACTTTTACAAGGGAAGTTATCCCTGTGTGGCATTAGTCTGCTAGTAGAGGGAGATTATTTCCACTTGCAATCCCAATTGAGTAAGTTGCAGTGTAATTTGTTGTACTCAATAAATGTGAACCGTGATGCCAACACACAATGGTCTACTCATTTTATAATGTGGTTACGGGATCTCAACGTCCTTAGTGAAGCAAACAGCATGTAATGCATGATTAAATCACCCCTGGCCTGCCAGATTGGGACCACAAACCACTACATGTGGTAAATGCGCTACCGCTAGGCCATGTCAATGAGCCACATGCGTCGCCATGCCCAATATCTTTCCACATCAGGACTGCACCCCCAACCATGCCATGGTTATGCCCATCCGCCTGCTACAGTTCATCAGTCGAGACAGCAACCACTCATGGAGAGCAAATCCAGCACTAGGGAAAAAGTCTGTCAGAAAATGAAAGGCTAATGCCACGGGTCTGCTAAGGCTTAGCTCTAGCTCAAATGAGCTGGCTCAAAGCCATACTTAACTTGAACTGCTCATGTGGCTCAATTTGTCACAAAATAATATGAATTAATACACAAAGGAATAAACGTACCTCGAGTTTTAGAGATGCTTACGGCCTGCATGTTCCACGTAGTTATGGTATCTGGTAATTGTAATCTAATCTGAGGATGTCTTCTAAAGAGAAAACACACAATTTCATTGAATAAGTTATTTCCACAGTCTGTATAACGTCTTGATTACAGAGGTAATTTGGGTCATTTTATATTCGAAAATTGGATTCATTCAGCACTCATTAAGATGGTGTTCAAGTTATTTGATTCACATTTTAATTTTGAGTAAGGCCAAATAATGATCTGGCCAAATTGTGTCGTTAAGACCCTCCAATAACCGCGTCACCTGAGACAGCCTCTTAAATATATATATATATCATATCTTCACAGGAACCAATACAATTTAAACTGAACATTATCCACAACAAATGAATGCTTTCTCGTTTCATTCCAATTCAACTGAGTAAATATTTTCTATTATATGTGTAGTGAGTCCAACTGAGTCGCAGACGTTATTCTTCAGAGATAACACATTTATTACATAACAAGTATATACAATTTCGATTTAAAGCTTTCGTGACTGCAGGGATTCATCTTCTTGGTAACCAAGAAGAAGTATATACAAAAGGGGTAATTGCCCCTTTGCCAGATACAGCCTAGGGTGGTGACCAACCAGCTAACTACACTACCATACAGCAGTTATGGCTACGACAGACCGGACCTCCACTCGGGTCCCGGGCCACGTGTTGGTGCTCTTCAGACGTAGAACGTGGAGCTTCCAATTTGCAGAACCAAGCGACCCCGGTCCCTCCCAGGGACCCAACTTATATCCTCCCAGGTCAGGGCCGGCTCCACCCTCAGCCCCGCCCACCTTCGCGAGTGTTCCAGCTCTCTCTCAATCCCTATCGAGAGCTATCCACTGACACGTGATCACCCTCCAGCCCCCCCCCCCCACTTGAGGGCCTCTCTATGGCCACTTGGGATCACGTGCCTACGGGGTCAACCAGAGTGCCATGTCCCGGTGCAACGCTGTCCCTGAGATGACACTCTCCCGCTTCCTCCTGTTGGAGCCCACACTGCACGCCATGCGTGGTGCCCTCGCTATCCCAGTGCTCACCAAGCCCTGCTAAGGCTGGCACTACACCCACCTACGGGGTGTACGTGATGACAGTGCATCACACACCGTGCTCTGCTAGAGCCGGTCTCTCTTAGCAACACACACGATGCTGTCCGCGACGTAAGTACATCGCATGCCATGGCCCTCCAGGGCCGGCACCACACAGTGACATCCCCAATGACACTACATGTGTTGTGTGGTGACGATGGACGTGAAGAAATAACTTCTTGTAAGGGCTTACTGCAGTTTATTATGACAGGGAAGGTACACTTACACCAGAGGTAGGTGTCTGCTACAGTGGGCCCTTCGTGTGGACCCCAGGCTCTACTCTTATCTCTAGCCTTGGCCCTTGGGTTCCCTCACTCGAGTCGGGACAGGGCTTCAGCTAACACCGCCTGACCGAGGAGAGCAACCCCTCTAACTCTTAGCCGGCTCTCACAGATTCTTCGAGCCCTGCCCTAGGCTATCTCTCCGGCTTTCCCACTCGTCGAACCTAGACGGGGGTTCAGCTAACACTGTCCGGTCACGAGCGGAAAAGACCTCCTTCAGCCGCTCTCGGTCCCGGCTCCCACAATGACCCCGCTTTTGTTATGAGGTCCCCCTTAAGTCCCCCTGGGCGGCTCCTCCTCCTTTCTCAGACCTGCCCTCGTTCTTCTCGATATCTCCTTATGGTGCTCATGAAATGACGTCATTACACCTCATGGCGCTCATGACGTCACGTCATCACACCTCATGGCGCTCATGACGTCACGTCATACAATACTCCTCTACATATGTATTACTCATTGTAACTCCTCGACCTACGTTTTGAGGCAAGGCGAGCCTTACCCGCTTGCAGGAATTTTGTATTTATTCCATCCCCAGCTTTGAGGAAAGTATGACCTCATATTAACTTCATCTTCATTCATCAAGTCCAATTCCATAAAATCATCTGAAAGTAAAAGCAAGTAATGTCATCGTCTTTACACATTGAAAGTACAATAAGACGGACAAATGTTAAGTCAAATGTACCAACCATGATGGTCAAATTTATGAAACAAACAGAGACACATCATTCTCTCTTTCAAACATGCATTGAAAATTGGCCAAACTATGTTTCGGGCAAAATACTAACTTTAATGATAAAAAGCCTAACGTCACATAATTAAATTCCACTTGAACAGGGAAAAAGAGTTGAAATTAACATCTATATGTTGAAAATATTCCAATGCCATGCCTGTAATTACTACTATTTTATTTTATCAGGCAAGGTCCATATACAGTGAGGGAAAAAAGTTTTTGATCCCCTGCTGATTTTGTACGTTTGCCCACTGACAAAGAAATTATCAGTCTATAACTTTAATGGTAGGTTTATTTGAACAGTGAGAGACAGAAAAACAACAACAAAATCCAGAAAAACGCATGTCAAAAATGTTATAAATTGATTTGCATTTTAATGAGGGAAATACGTGTTTGACCCCCTCTCAATCAGAAAGATTTCTGGCTCCCAGGTGTCTTTTATACAGGTAACGAGCTGACATTAGGAGCACACTCTTAAAGGCAGTGCTCCTAATCTCAGCTTGTTACCTGTATAAAAGACACCTGTTCACAGAAAAAATCAATCAATCAGATTCCAAACTCTCCACCATGGCCAAGACCAAAGAGCTCTCCAAGGATGTCAGGGACAAGATTGTAGACCTACACAAGGCTGGAATGGGCTACAAGACCATCGCCAAGCAGCTTGGTGAGAAGGTGAAAACAGTTGGTGTGATTATTCGCAAATGGAAGAAACACAAAAGAACGTCAATCTCTCTCGGCCTGGGGCTCCATGTAAGATCTCACCTCGTGGAGTTGCAATGATCATGATAACGGTGAGGAATCAGCCCAGAACTACACGGGAGGATATTGTCAATGATCTCAAGACGTACGTGTGGTGAGTGTGTGTACGCGAGGTGAGTGTGTGTACGCGTGGTGAGTGTGTACACACACGTGGCTAAAGAGCGCCGCGGCTCAAGTGCGCCGGGCTAAGCGCGGGCACCACCACCACAACAACACCAACCACAACCACCCACACCACCATAACAACAACCACAACCACCCACACTAACAACAACCACCCACACCACGTCGAGGCCTACGTGGAGGGAGCTCGTCAATGGAAGCAGAACAATGAAGCTGATGGGCCAAACATCTCGCCTCTCCACGTCCACATCACGGCGTGTGCGGCAGCGTGTGCGTTGTGCTGCATGGGTGTGGGCTGTGCGTGAGAGTGGGTGAGGGTGAGCTGCGTGTGAGTGAGCTGTGTGTGTGTTTTAATTTAGTGTTTAAATATGTCAATTCTCCTGCTGTGTATCTTACTGCTGTCCCTTCCGGCCATATCTAGTGCCACACTCAACTCTACAAACGGCTACCCGCGTTACTTCGCGTCAATACTTATTGCTAAATTTGCCACTACACCTGCTAATGAAACAACTTAAGAAAACACTTCTACACTCCATCATTGTATCCTTTTAAACCCTATCTTTGTCCCATTACTTCACCAGCACTCTTTCCATACTTCATTCTGCTCTTAAAAATAATACCATCTGCGAGCTGCTGCTATTCGTCCAAGGTTCGTCGCTCTTCATCCTTTCACAGAAAATACCTGTGCAAACTATTAATTCTACTTTTCTTATTTATGGGTGGTATTGAGCTTCATCCTGGCCCAAATGTAAAGAACTCGTATAATTCTTTAGATTTTTCTGGCAGAAAAGGTGTTGGTGTTCTACATGTCAACATCAGAGGGCTTATGATTAAATTAAGTCAACTAAAACTAGAAGTGGCAAATCTTGACCCAGACATTTTTTGCCTAACAGAAACATTTCTCACTCCTGCCGTCAATGACTTGCAGATTACGATTTACAACTACAACCTTTTTCGGCTTGACCGAGGATCTAAATGAGGTGGAATTGCCATCTATGTTTGTAATACTATTGCATGTTCACCAGCTCACTCCTTGTTTAAAAAATGTTGCTTTGAAGGTCTGGCTCTCAGAATAACTCTCCCTAAAAAAAAACAGATATTGGTAGTGTGCTCCTATAGACCGCCTAGTGGGAAAGATGTTGAAGCTGCATCTGCACTGAGAGAGCTTCTTGGGGGCCTCTCTAAAGGTGAAATAGTTTTAGTGGGTGATCTAAATTGAAATTGGCTAAACCCGCCGGCCGTGGCTACATATTTTGCAGATGAATTTAACCTGTTTCAATTAATAAATGTCCCCACAAGACCCAACCTAAAAAATCCGGGACAGTCATCTCTGCTTGACGTCCTATTGACAAATGCCCCTCACAATTTCGCACTGACTGGTGTTCTGGGTAATAACCTTAGTGATCACTCCTTCATTTTTGGGGTGAGATCATCAGCCAGACCCAAAGCCCCCCCTAAATTGGTTGAGAAGCACTCCATGAGACACTTCAGCACTCAGGAATTTACTAATGATGTGCTTCACTCGGATATTGACAAGGTCTGTGATATTCCAAACCTGACTACGGCTTGGGAGACTTTCAGGTACACGTTTCTCCAAATTCTTAACAAACATGCTCCGTTGGTTAAATTTAAAACTAAAGGCAAACGTCCACCATGGTTTGATCCTTTGATTACAAAGCTCATGAAAACTAAGGACAAGGCTTGGGCATGTGCTCAGAAAAGTAATTTGGTCAATGACTGGCTAGAATACAGGATTTTAAGGAATAGATGCGTAAAAAAAAATACGGCATGCAAAAAATGACTACTTTTCTTCCACTCTCCTTGAATCACATGGAAATTCTAGGATTTTCTGGAAAACAATCAAATGTATCGAAAAGGCATCCAAAACAGATAATCTGCCCGTTGAGCTTAACCGAAATGGGGAATATTTTTCAGATCCCCAAAAAAGTAGTTGACAATTTTAACTTTAATTTTTCTGAAGCTGGTACCGTATTTGATAATGCATTGGGAGTCACCCCTGCTGATGAAAATTCCTACACCCCTATCCAAACATTAAGCGAATTTAGTTTTCAGCCAATCCACGAAAGTAATGTTCTGAAACAACTGTCCTACCTCAAAGGGTCCTCCTCTACCAGAGCAGATAGTTTTCCCGTCTTTGCTCTACTAACTGTTGGTCACCTAATATACAAACCTATAGCCCATATTTTCAACCTGTCTATCAAAGAAGCATCAGTTCCTCTAGAATGGAAACATTCCTATGTTCGTCCACTTCACAAAGGGGGCCCTAAAGATGATCCAAATAACTACCGACCTATCTCAATTTTGTCCCCGTTGATGATTTTTTTGTAAAAAATTATTGAACTACCAAATTATCAGTTTCCTGTCCGCCAACAATCTATTACATCTAAAACAATCTGGGTTCCGAAAAAAATTACAGCACGACATCTGCTGCATTAGATTATCTGAATCACATTTACAGTAGCCTTGATAATAAGCAGTACTGCGCCTGTCTATTTCTTGACTTGTCCAAAGCTTTTGATACAGTAGACCACAACATCCTGCTTAGAAAAATAAGTTGCCTCGGTTTTTCCGAAAACACAGTAAAATGGTAAAAAAATTACCTCTTTTCTCGCACCCAAACTGTATTCACAGATGGATGGTGGTCAAACAGTGTTAAGATAACAAAAGGGGTTCCACAGGGTTCCATTCTCGGCCCCCTCTTGTTCTCTCTTTATGTAAATGACTTGGGCACTGAACTGGATTATTCCAGGGTAAATCTTTTTTTGCAGATGACACGGTACTGATTACTGCTGGCCGCTCTCCGGATGACGTGATTGCTAAGCTCCAGAGTGATTTCAACAAACTACAACATCAGCTAGTTGCTCTTAAACTAGTCCTAAATCCTGCCAAAACCAAGGTGCTATGCTTCTCACCAGGACTAAAGCGGGAAGTTATTTTTCCCCAATTACATTCCTTAAATAATGATCAAATAGAGCAAGTCAAGATCTATAAGTATCTTGGGGTCATCCTGGATTCAAAACTGAATTTTGAAGATCACATTGATTATATTGGGAAAAAGACAAAAAATTAAATTGGTTTTCTATATCGACACTAGCACTGCTTCCTCCCCTATGTTCCGTTTGGAATTGATAAAAGCTACCATACTGCCTCTACTTGATTACTGTGACATCGTGTATAAATCAGCCCCAAGTACTGTACTGAAGAAGCTTGACTCAATGTATCACTCGGCCTTAAGATTTGCATTGAACTGCCCATATAGGACTCACCACTGTGATCTCTACATTGGGTCAAACTTAACATCTCTGAATGTTCGATGGCTTGTGCACCAGATCTTATTTATTCATGATGATTACCTACTGGATCTCCTCTCTGTTTCAAATAACAAATTTGACCTAAGGTCTACACTCATTTACCAGCTTCATATTCCCTATTGCCGTACATCTACTGGAGGAAGGGCCTTTGCTATTGATGCCCCCAGGGTCTGGAATGCTGTTGCCAATAAATTGAAACTTGAGTCACTACCTATGAGATCTTCACTCAAAACTGCTCTAGAGAAGTTATACACCCCTAGCTGCCAGTGCTATTCAGTGGCCTAAAATAAAATGTTTCGCTCCGGATGATCGCTACAAAGTATGACCTGTGGTTTAATTTAGTGTGATGATCTTAAAGGTGCATTGAAAAATTCTAATACCACGATTGATGCTCTTGCTGTTGTGGAGTGACCCATGCAGCAGGCTATGGCTGCAGGGTTGTGGTAGTAAATGTTGTTTATGCCATTTATTGTGGAAATTCCGTCAGTTCCTATTGTAACGGGTTCCGGAGACACTTGTAGAGGTAACTTCTTTATTATAATCTAACAGCACTCCAACAGTCCTGATACTCTGTTACAGCCTAGGTACACAGCCTAGGTACACAGCCTAGGTACACAGCCTAGGTACACAGCCTAGGTAGACAGCCTAGGTACACAGC